GATCGCCATTTTAGCCGTACTTTGTTTCCGACGGCAGAAGAATAATGAGTTAAAACTTTTGCGCAAAAATGATAAGGAATTGGAGGAGAGGTTCAACACTACGTAAAGAATATTCTTTAATATTTTTATATCAAATTCTTGTGTATTATTAGTTTTGTATTTATTTCTTATTAATTACTCTCTGTTTCTTAATTTATGCTGAATTGAGTTTATGTTAATTAATAATAAGTTATTATGCTTGATGATAATAACGTACCGTTCCCATTGTATCATTTCTGTCCCCTCTCATTTTATTTTTAGAATATTTTGAATTTATACTTTAAAATTTGTTTATTTAATTTATTATTATGATTTGTATTAATTGTGATTTTTGTAGTGATGCATAACATTTTTAATAGTCATTAAAACTAACATTTATTTATGTTTTTCATATAATTTTCAATTAATTTGAATGTAATTTTGTTTAAATAAAATTAATAAAATTTTTAGACATTTATTATTAAAATACTTATTTCTATTTGNATGATTTGTATTAATTGTGATTTCTGTAGTGATGCATAACATTTTTAATAGTCATTAAAACTAACATTTATTTATGTTTTTCATATAATTTTCAATTAATTTGAATGTAATTTTGTTAAAATAAAAATAATAAAATTTTTGATACATATTTATTATTAAAATACTTATTTCTATTTGCAGGTCATATGAATCATATGAATCGGAAAGGCTTTAGAGACAATTAATTTTTTTATTTGTCTTACAATTATTCATCAAATTTTTATCATTATTCAATAAATTATAAAATATTATATATTTTTTTAAATAAAACCCTATTTCTTCTATTACAAATAAATGCAATTATTTTTCTTTAAATAGACCAGGGTTGAAATACAACTCCCTGCCTGCATTCATCTTAATTAATTCTGGACGTTGAGTCTCATCAGCTTTGCTCAATTCATCCTCTGTCTAAACATTGTTTTAAAATTTAAAATTAGTTTCTAGTTTTTTTATTAAATTAAAACATACCATTTTGAATAGTTCTGACAAGCTAAAGTCGCACGAGTATTCAGCAATACAATGACTGAATGTCTGTCCAAATAAAGTGTATCCATTTGCATCAATAGCATGAATACCTTTAAAATTAAGTTTACGTTAAAATAATCATTTGATAATAATTTAGTAATAATAAATGGTGTTACCCTTAGCCCACGCATAAAATATGAAGGTGCGAGTGATGTCGTTCATCCAGTCCGATTCAGCAGAGTGCTGTACATTTTGTATATCATCTGTCAAAGAATATAATTAAATTAACTTAAACTATGTAAATAGTTTTGCACGTGTTTTAATACTCACTAGTCTGGCAGCAATTAAATATAAAAATCCTGGGCTTTTGTCTGAGAGACGGGTGACAATCCCTCTCAGAAAATTGATCCACGAGTGTCTTAATATGAATCCCATCATGGCCTTGACCCCCACCTTGGATCATTTCATCGTGACCGTAGCCTATAAACATGACAATCAAGGCATCCTTTTTGAACTCCTGTTGGGAGGTGTTCTTTAGAGTGTCCAGAATCTGGTTGCACGAGTAGTTCACGTAAGTATCGACCGAGAAGTATAACTGTTGAAAAATGTGGTCAAAACGATCTGCCTCCTTTTTGAGCTCATCCAACTGCAAGAATATAAATGCACTCCCCCTGGGGTTGCTGTCCATAACGAACCAACGGGAGACACCTGATCGCATTTTGCTGGCATTTTTGACTGTTATATTGACATCGGGCGAGTGAGCTATTGATGGGTTTGACTGGTTATACTGTATCCATGCTGTTGCAGCTTCTTTCTGGTCACTATGCCGCAGTATTTCAACAAGCTCATCGTACGCGCTACGATCTCGGTTAAACTTCTCGAATATGAATTCCTTTCTAGCGTTTTCATTATTAAACGGAAGATTCTATTTGTGATTATATGGATTATTACAGTAAATTAAAAACTAACAAATTTGTAAATGAATAACTAATTGTTTTTATTTATTTTTTTATTGTTTGCATTATTTAAAACCATTTGAGAATAGATGACACTAAAAGTATTGAGTCTATAATAAACATGATTCAAACCTGGCGATTTAACTTACATTTAGTTCTTTAAATAGATCTTGAGCACATGAATGACCTTCTAATAGCTTCATAAACATTGTATTCAGTGATACGAGAGGTAAGAATTCGTTGAAGTTTTTTCGTACTTCTGGCTTATCCATTGTTCGGTATAAATCAGTATAAATAAACCAGGTTAATTTTAAATATAGCTAAAAATTGAGATAAACAAATATGAAATGAATTATTTTTAAATTGAAATATTTAATAAATGTTATACAATATAACTTATACTTAGAAGGAATTTCTCGATACGGAAAGTTGGCAATGCTAGTATAATTTGTATGTCCATAAACTTAATCATATGCTTGATAAATATGCATGGTCAAAAAGTGCGAATTCGGGCGATAAAATGGTCATTTTTGGGGTCAAGAAGTTGGCTGACATGATCATTTTTATATAAATTAACATTATTTGTATAGACGGTATGTATTAGAGGTTTAGACGGCACTCAACCGTATAGTAAGCACTGTATCTGTCGAAAACTTATCCGGCAAATGTATGCGTATAATGCAGTTATATATACAGTATATATAGAATTCAAGTACAAATGATCATGTCAGCCAACTCCTTGACCACAAAATGACCATTTTATCGCCCGAATTCGCACTTTTTGACCATGCATATTTATCAAGCATATGATTAAGTTTATGGACATACAAATTATACTAGCATTGCCAACTTTCCGTATCGAGAAATTCCTTCTTAAAGAAATGTCCACATAACACAAATGGCTAAATTGATAAAACAATATAAAATGTTTTCAGTTAATATAATGTTTAACAATTGTTATATTACTATATGGATGACAATAAGCCGAAGCCCGACCTCGGCCGGCCGAGGCAAGGGTTTGTCTCAGGTTGGTATTAAGAAATATTATATTCCAGGAGGATCTTAAGTTTCTAAAATAACCCCATTCTGGAGGCCATGTTTCTAAATGGCCAGAACAATTATATATTTAACAAGTAATATTAGAACCAGTTAGACCAATTTTGCATAGGCTTATTATGGAATATTGAGAGAATTTAATCCTGTGTTAAATAAATATCAGTGTATAACAGGAACACACTTCCAATTTGGACGGTTCATATATAATTTAATATCGTAATATAATTAGTATAAATTAAGTAGGCTGAGGCTTGCCTGATATCCAGGGGGTAAGTCTTAATATGACGTGAGGCCGATGTCGAAATTCATTCATGTTCTGGGCTTAGCCTGAAGTCCATGATTTTCAAGCTTATGACTATCTTTGATGATAAGTTAAATATTTGTACGCTATAAATCTATCTTAAAATATATAATAAAAGAATTTAATCTTTGTAACTAATAGTTTCCAAAATGTTATTAGATTTTTATTGTTCTACGGTTTTTGTGAAGGAATTTTGTTTTATGACTTTAGGTTCACTTTATTATATATTATTAATAATTATACTTTTGGATTAGGACTTGCCTTAATATTGAAGCCTATTGTTCATATAATGTTAGTTTATATTTGCTCAATATAAAAATCACCAGTTTTTTATGGCCGCCATTTTTATATTATAATTTAATTTTTAATATAAAAATTTCTGTGATAATCACATTAACATGTCAAAACTTTTAAATGAATTTGAAATTTGTGATAATGTTCCGGATAAACAATCAATTGCTATTTTTCATGTATTTGAAATATCGTTGTCACCGAATATACTGTTTGTTACAACCGATGACGAGGTGTTCGCTTCAGGCGGTAATTCGTCCGGATGTCTCGGTTTAGGGCATAATATGTTCGTCCAATCGCCGCAACAAATACCAGAATTAAGTCACAAAAGGATTCAACAGTTTTATATCGGCGGCGACTTTGTGCTGGCTATTAGTTCCGCCACCGGTGTGTACAGTTGGGGCCATAATAATTGTGGTCAGTTAGCTAGATGTGTTACACCGGAAGGCCAATACTCAAAGCCTCAGAAAATAACATACCTTGATAATAAAAATATTGTTACTGCTTGTTGTGGTCTTCAGCACAGTCTGGCCCTCACCACCGATGGCCACGTGTACGCGTGGGGCAGCAATAATTGGGGACAAATTGGCTGTAATTTACCAGGATCTTTTATTTCGGAGCCGATATCATTGAGCTTTCCTAATAATTCGCGCATTAAATCAATATTTTGTGGCTTTAATTCATCGTTTGCTATCACTCTCAAAGGACTTGTATATAGTTGCGGCATAACAGATATTAAGCAAAATGATCCCGCGAAATTCGAACAAGTAGCAGGATTAAATGATGTCACATCAATAGCTATAGGACATTGGTATGATGGTAAACAATTCAATGAAAATTTCTTCAAAGAAACGGTCTATTTTCTAAACACATCTGGTTCATTATTAAAAGTAAGCTAGTAAAAACACTTGTGCACTTAAAATTTAACTAATAATACTTTTAACATATTAAAGTACAATATATAACATACTGAATACTGTTTTTATTTATATGTAATTGTATTCTATCAGGGAGTATTATTATAATAAACATTTTATTGATTGACTTTAGTAAAGTACACACCAAGTTGGGAAAGATCAAGCATACTACCATTTTAGAGTCCTATGAACTTTTAGAATTACCCATTATATATCTATATTCAATAAAAAATATTAGTCACTGTGTTTACTAATTCTTAACTATTCAATTTTTCCATTATATAATTTTAGGTGGAAAATACACCAACAACCTACGATGATAAAATAGTTCAATACCAAATTATTCCAATCAAGAAAGAATATAATTTTAAAGAAATTAAAAGTTTTAATTCTGTGTATATTAAGTATGACACCATAATACTTTCAACCGGATCGACAATTTTTAAATTACACAAAGATTCTCTCGAACAAACAACATGTGAAAATTCCGCTCATTACTATACATCTGAACTACAGTTAACCTATAATTCTATAAATTTTCGTGAAAACTATTACCAACGAACATTTCATATGGTGCATGAAATAGGTGCTGGTGGTTATGGGAGAGTATATAAAAATTACAAGAAAAGTGATTATAAAGAATACGCCATTAAAATTATGAATCTTGCCGGTACTAATTAATTATTTTGTTATTATTTTAAATAAGTGATTATTATTATACAACAATGATATAAATTTATATAGTAATTTCTAGATTTACCGATAAATACATAACACATTAAGCATAACGGCCTTACTTAATTAATTAATTAAGATATTATTAAGTAATTTATATCACTGTAATAATATGAATATTAATTAAAGTTTACCAATAAAAATGTTAAATTAATTATATTTTTATTATTTAGATAATTTTTCCGATAAAGAAATATTAAGAGTATTTAAAGAGACAAAACATATGTCAAAAGTTCAATCAAAATATTGTGTTGAATATTACGACTCATGGCTTGAAAGAGACTGTTATTACATACAAATGGAGTTATATGCCGATAGTCTCAAGAATTTTCTTGAACACAAACCCCAAGAACTCGATAGAGATAAATGGCATCCTATGAATAGTTACGAGTATTTCATTTCGTGCGAAATATTCCGCGAAATTCTTGAATGTGTTCAGTATTTGCATGAAATGCAGCCACCGATCATTCACCGGGATCTCAGTCCGGCGAATATATTGATTAGCGAGAGTGCAAAGAGCGGCAGGTTTATTAAATTAGGCGACTTCGGACTGGCTACAATTCACGACCCGCAACGTATAAATGATACGAAAAGTAAGTACACTGGAGGCGTGGGCACCTATGGCTTCATGGCACCGGAAGTTTTTGACTGCAAGCCGTACAGTCATAAATGCGATATTTATAGCCTGGCTATAATAGGCACAAAATTGTTTGAATTTGATTTGGTCACATTCGACAAGGACAAGTATATTTATTTAATAATTCTAAAAATTTTTGATATAATTTAAAACAAAATTTAGAATTTATTTGTTTACCAAATTGTTTTATAACTCGTTCTCATAATATCCTGTAAAAGTTGTTTTAAATAGTGGGTAAATAGGAAATGTTGTAAAACATAATTTTGGAGTAAAGCCTTAATATTAGCCAGCATATTCACCACAAATATAAGCTGATGTGTAATCAATAAACTTATGTTAGTATGAATTTATTAGTACAGTATATTCAATACTTGTGATTAAATCATTAATATAAATAGCTTTTTAAACCCTGATTATTTCTATTCTGTTATTTTAAATATATAATGAATAAACTATTAAAAAATAAGATTTATTTACTTGTATTAAATCATTCATATTTTTGCATTAGTTTATTATAAATTATATGTTTGATGAATATGCTGGCTAATATTAAGGCTTTGCTCCTAAATTATATTTTATAACAAAAACTATTTAAACATTTAAAACAACTTTTACCGGATCTTACTCATAAGTCATAAAAATCTTATGGTTCACAAATAATTGTAATTCTTGTTTTTATTCTAAATGGTCTTAATAATATTTTTTAAATTATATTTATAGCCCGCAACCGTACTCCTCGCACAATGCAAACTTAAATGATCCGGTATTTCATTTAAAAACTATATTGAATTCAATGATAATGAATCCTCAATGGCATAAAAGACCGGAATGTAGTGAAGTGTTGGCTCAATATAACAAGTGGTCTATCGATAAAAATATTCTCGAAAATGATCGACAATTTGATCTAGACTACAATAGACTCAGTCAGAAAAGGAATTCATTTTATGTTAAATATTTTCAAAATATAATTCAATCCCAAATGAACTCTCATCCCATATCTAATATAGTTTCAAATAATAGTAAGAAAAGGTATAATTTATTAGGTATGTTTATTTTTTATTTTGTTTGAATTATTAAATAATTTAGCATATTAATGTTCTTAGCTAGCTCAAATGACTCGCCTAAAAACGATCTTAAAAAGCTTGATTTAATGGGATCTGGGGGTTTCGGCAGCGTATATAAAGTCGAACACATTATCACCAAAAAATTATTTGCTTTAAAGGAAATCAATTTAGAAGGTATCAAGATTAAATATTATTTACAATATATTGTGTATTTTAAGATTAGTTGCATGGTACCATATAACAATTATGATACATAAATAACTTATTAAGCTCGAATATAAGTAAGGTTATTAATTTTAAAAATCTCTACTAATATAAGCATGTTCATTTTTAAATAAAATCTAAAGGATTGAATGCCAAGGAGAAGGAGCGGGCATTAAATGAAGCACAGAGTCTACTGAAAGTACGTTCCCCTTATGTGGTCGAGTATTACCATTCGTGGGAAACCAAGGACCAGGTATGCATACAAATGGAGCTCTGTTCGCATAACTTGCGCGATGTTATCGACGATAAGCCGCACCTATTTGACAGGAATGATGAACAGGCTCTCAATGAGTTTGAGTATTTTGTATCATGCAAGATTTTTGAGCAAATCCTAGAATCCGTGCAATACATACACAAATTAGATCCCATAATAATTCACCGTGATCTGAAACCTGAGAATATCCTGGTAATTTCCGGACAGGCAGGGAACGGTAAGTTTTTGAAGTTATGCGATTTCGGTTTGGCTAAGTTTCACGACCGACACGTCCACTACATGACCGCTAATAAACATACGGCAGATGTCGGCGATATTAGGTATATGGCCCCGGAAGTGATTCAGGGCAAAAAGTACGGTCACAAATGCGATATATATAGTCTGGCTTTAATCGCTGGAGAATTATTCAATATTGAAGTTTTTGAAATCGATGTTACAAGGTAACTGTTAATATTAAAGCTATATGCAACGCAAAGTAGTCTAAAGTTTAAATATATTTTCAATCAAAATCTTATTAGAAACGTACCAAGTTAAGATTTTATTTATTTTATTACAGCGACGTTAAAGAATTGACAAGTTTTGCGAAACAATTTGCAATTTTGAAAGAAATCTTAGAATCGATGATAAATACGAACTCAATAAAGCGACCGGAATGTAGAGATGTGCTTGCTCAATATACGAGTTGGTCTATTCAATATAATAAAGTTAACACTTCAATTGAAATACGGAATGAATCAATAGAAAAATTTAAAAATACATCGTGCTCATTTATATCAAATAATTTTTTAATATAAACATGCATTTTTATTATAAACAATAAATACATACTAGTTATATTTGACTTCAAAATTATTTATAAATATGTAAATGTAAATTTGGAATGTTGGTAAATTCATTAATTAAAGTGCATTATTACAATCAATTTAATAATTACCTGCGCGAGTACCTAGATGATTCTAAATAATTGCTTTTAGTTTTTAACCGAACCCAGCAATTGCGTTGATCACAAACCTGTGATGATTTGAATAATTGGCACAAAAATAAGTTTTATTATAATAGCAAACTATAACTCACTATAAATAGACAAAATGACCTTTCGCTTAATTATTTACTTAATTAATGGCCACTCTTTTGGGTCAATTCTATGCTGTAATTGTCGAGAGAGAGAGAGAGAGAGAGAGAGACTCCAGTAATGACTTTTTGTATGTCCCGGATAATCAATACTGTCCTTCAAATGTCATTAATTACTAGCTCTCTGTGAATACCACGTCTCATATGTGTTGTATGTCTTATGTGACTATTTCTATGTATTATTCGTCGCAAACAAATAGAAAGTTCGCCAAAAAATAGTCTCCATTTGATTGACTGTTAACCAGTTCAACGCAGAAATAAGAGAAAAGTCTATTTTCGTGATTATAATTACTTACAGACGAGTAAAAGACTTGTATATAAATGAAACACTGAATTAATGGGTAAAATCAAACAAATGTTTTGTTAAGCAATTATATTTCTAACATACATTTTAATACAATTCCAATAAAACTAAATTAGACTATATTGAATTCAATGAAAATGAATCCTCAATGGCATATAAGACCGGAATGTAGTGAAGTGTTGGCTCAATATAACGAGTGGTCTATCGATACAAATATTCTCGCAAATGATCGACAATTTGATCTAGACTACAATAGACTCAGTCAGAAAAGGAATTCATTTTATGTTAAATATTTTCAAAATATAATTCAATCCCAAATGAACTCTCATCCCATATCTAACATTATTCGCATTTTGTTTAAGTAACTAACAGTATATTTATTAATTAATTGCTAGTATTATAACGTGCATTTTAGAAATATGTAGTAATAATTGTTAATGATAATCTGTTAATTATTAGAAGCATATTAAAAGTATTGAATGGAAACACTTAAAATCTATCCATTTTCATATGGATTGGTAATTTTGGTCAATATTAGATTTTATGTATACTTTTTGAAATAATTTTAGCGACCCATCCAATGGAAAATAGCTATTTTGTTTAAAAAGATATCTACTCAATATAAGCCTCTATAAGCAATATCCAGTTTATTTTATATTAACTAGTAAATAAAGTTAATTTATTAAATATACATTAATTTCATAACTATCATTTAATTGTTTGAATGCAATCAATGGTTACGTTATTTTGTGAAACCGAATACTGTGTTCACAAAATTTAATTCACAAATAAGTATTTAATTAAGTAATTAATTTCATTGCGAATTCACTACAAAAACATATTTAAAATTACATGCGATTACCAGTGACTCCAAAATGAGAGTCATATTAATCTCGACTCAAATCCTTTTAATCATAAAATATATAAATTGCAAAAACAAAGCGCACGACAACTCCGGCTCACTGTCAGGTCGGGTCTGTCCCCCCATCAGGTCATTGGCTACGACTCCGACGATTACAATGAATTAAGTCGTTCGCCAACTAAAGCCAACAGAGCCAGGCCTACCACCACAAGGGCCAGCCCTCCCGTCCCCCCTGTTGTAAAGCCTTCAAATGGACCGCCCGTTCCGAGTAAGTAATATAGACAGCGATCTTCTCCTGAATTCTCAGGGTTTGTGAGTCCCGGGCCCTAACAATACGGTCCCACAACTAATGAACCCATAAATGCAGAATCCGTTCCGACACCAGTACCCCAGTCAACACGAGTACTACTATCTGGAGCACCAATTCAACGGAAATCAGTTCCGATTCCGTTACAATCGGCACCAGTACCACAACATACTTCTCCCGTTCAGGAACACTCAACCATTGTATCGGCCCCACCATCACCAATAACAGCCAGTCCACCATCAAATGAGACGCCAATAGATCCACCACAAGAGGCACCCATAGATCCATAGATTAGGAATAACCTACCTTACCAAAATACAGGGTTAAATAGTTACCAGAATAATTATCAGAATGGCGGAATCGAGTACCAGAATGATAAGACTTTGGTTGAGGTGGGTTATTTTAATATGATTTTAATTTTATTATCTTATTATTAATAATTATTTTTTTATTAATAATAAATAATAATAGTACAGTTGTTATGATCATCTACTTAATTATATTTGTTAAATGAATTAAATTCTAAATTTATTTATTTTATTTAATCATAGTTCATAAATAAGTTAGCTATTAATACAAAACTACTTTAATTTTATAAGCTCATTAAAATAGTTTTAAAAAGTTTTAAATAATAAGGTTTAAAGTAATAACAGTCAAAGTGATGCAAATAGTCAACTTTATTTTAATTGCATTTATTTGTTGAATATATAAATTAAATAATGTTTTCATTACAGCTTTTGGGAGACTTTCTATACATCGCGCCGTCCGACTACGTGGCGCGCCTACACTCCCAGGGAGGCGGTAAGGTCTGGCTGTTTGCCTTTGAATACGAGGGCACCCGTAGTTTCGGGCCCATACAGAAAAACGCACAGCACATCTCCAAACAAACTTATGGTGTGTCCCATATGGACGACCGATTCTACGCCTGGATCACCGAATACATACGCGACAGCCCGGCCGCCGAGAGATCCCTTTCCAACACATACGCCAAACAATTCTACGTATTCACCCGATTGGGACAAATACCATCCGGGTATATGAGT